GGAAGGGGGGTCGGGGCGGGGGGGGGGGGCGAGGCTGGAGGGGTAGGGCTGGGGGTCAGGGGGAGCTCCTGAACCCTGACCTCCACCCCGGTGCAGCCCCGCCGGGGGTCCCGTCCGTGTGGTGCCGTGCTTCTGACTACGAGAACTTCTCCTGCTCCTGGGCCGCGGCCCGCGACACCTTCCTGCCCACGCGCTACATCACCACCTACCGGTGAGCCCCTCTCCTGCCCCTGCCCCTCCGCGCTGCAGGCTGAGCTGCCCCGTGCCCGGGCTCCCACCCCTCATGCCCTGCCCTGCTGCCGGGGCTCCCGGCAGGCAGCTCCCAGCACTGGGGGCCTCGGTTCTCAGTCCACACACATGCATGCACACGACTGCATATACGTGCACACATGGATATGCCTGCACGCATGCGCACACAGGTGCATGCACACACATGCAGACACATGCACATATGCTCAAACACATGCACATGCCTGCACGCATGCAGGCACACGGATATATGCACTGTCACTGGACTTCACATTAGACATGGTTTGGCCAGCAGCACACTTGCACGCACATGCGTGCCCACACGGACTTGCACACTCATGCATACCCATGCACAAGCATGCATATATATGCACACACAGCTCAGGGGGCTGGAACAGCAGCAAGAGGCTCCTTCTGCCCTGGTCCCGTCTCCACCGCTCCTGCCCCTGCCCCGATGCCCCCTGCCCCCGCCATGGATTCAGAGGCTGCTTCTTCTCTGCTTTTCTTCATGCGCAGGAAGAAGTCGCTGACCAGGGAAGAGAAGCGAAGGTAAGACCCGTGTCACCTGTCCTGTGACATCACAGCGCTGTGTGATATCATGCACGGGGCCAAGCGGGGCATGGGCATGGTGTGGGGATGTGTGTCCAGCTCCCCTGCTCCAGCCGGGGCTGCAGGCTCAGGGGAGGGACACAACTGAGCCGCTGGCAGAGGGGCCGGCCTGCACAGTTATATTTAGCCCGGCTTAAGGTCCCGTCCATCCGTTCCACATCCCGGCAGCTTCCTGCCGTGCCAGGACACGGAGAGCCCTGCCCTGATCCTGGCGCCTTCCTTCTGCAGGAAGGGACGAGGCCAGCGCCCACCCACAGACCTCCCCAGCGCCCCCCCAGCCAAGCCCCAGGACTATGAGGGGGCTGGGACAGGGCAGGGCATGGGGGCCCGGTGCCTGGGGGGCAGAAAGCAGCAGCTGCCATGCCATGGTGTGGAGCAGGAGAGGCCTGGGGTGCAAGGGCCTGGCGGGGTGTTGCTGAGCCATGCGCCCCGTCTCATTGGCAGGGTGCAGGGCGGACCGGTGGGGCTGTGCCTGCAGGACCCCGCGCACCCGGGCACGTGCACAGTGCCCAAGTCGGAGTTCTGGAGCTCATACCGGCTCAACGTGACCGAGGTGAACCCGCTGGGCGCCAGCTTCCGCCTCCTGGACGTCACTATGCAGGCCATCCGTGAGTGCGCATGCGTGGGCATCCACACGTGTGCACATGTGTGTACACACACATGCATGTATATATGCACACAGGCATAACCATGCATTCACACACATGCCTGCACCGACATGCGCTCATGTGCATGCATGCATGCATATACACACGTGCATGCACATGTATGCATGCACATGTGTACACATGCATATGCACTGTGTGCACACATGAATGCACACATATGCCTGCATGCACACATATGCACATGCACACACAGGTGCCAAGGTGGGGACAACTCCACCCAGCTGCCCCGGCACATGAGCTGATGCCCCTGCCTGTCCCTCCCGCAGTGAAGCCGGACCCCCCGGAGGGGCTGGTGGTAGAGCCAGTGCCACGAGCCCCCCGGCGGCTGCGTGTGCACTGGCAGTACCCCGCCTCCTGGCCCAAGGAGCCCCACTTCCAGCTCAAGTTCCGGCTCCAGTACCGGCCTGTCATGCACCGCGCCTGGTCCATGGTGAGTCCCGGCGGGGAGGGGGGTTGGATGCATGCACAGATGGGGCTGGGAGGCGCCGCGTTGCCCCGATCCCCTTGCAAGCTCCCCGCTCCGTGCAGGTGGAGACGGCGAACCTGTCCGAGGTGATCACCGACGCCTTCTCCGGGCTGGAGCACGTGGTGCAGGTGGGCGCCAAGGACTTCCTGGACGCCGGGAACTGGAGCGAGTGGAGCGCCGAAGCCCGCGCCACACCGGTCACTGGTACGGCAGAGCAGCCCCTGCTGAGGTGCCCTACGTCCTCTGCCCGGCTTGGGCCACGTGGCTTCAGTGCATCCGTGGCAATATGGAGCAACTCTTGCCCCGCCGGGGCCTGAGAAGGACCGGGACCCCCTGCAGCCATGCAGCCACGAGTTGCCTTCCTCTGTCTCCCCAGTGCCTCCGGACCCAGCCGCCACGGCCAGCGCAGAAACCACTACCGAAACCGGCCTGGAGCGCGCGGCCCACGAGCCCTCACCTGCTCCCAACCCCGAGCCCATTGGTGGGTGGCGTTGGCACCGGGGTCCCTGGGGCCAGACGGGGCTCGGCGGGGCGGTCAGAGCCGGGGGTGCCCCACTGGGATAGAGACTCCTTGGGGGACGGGGGTCCCGTAGGAGCTGAGCACCACCCGCAGAGGTGGGCTGGGACAGGGGCTGGGGAGCTGGGTGTGCAGCAGGGGCCGGGACGGCAGTCACAGTCTGTGCATGCATGCAGACCGCAGCGACCCCACGGAGAGGATCGCCGTCCTGGTCTCACTCGGGGTCTTCGCCTTCGTGGTCCTGGCCGCCGTCCTGTTCGTCGCCCTCCTGGTCTGGTAGGTGCCACGGCAGCCCCGGGGCAGGGTGCATGGGGACGGGTGGCCTCGGCGTGGCCCGCAGACCTGCGGGCAGGAGTGATCGGCAGCAAGGCGGTGATCAGCGGTGCCGTGGGGCACCCGGTGCCTCGAAGGGCATGGCCAGAGCGGGGGCCTGGCTGGCAGCCCTACACCCTGTGCAGCTCAGGCCCAGCCCCTGGCAGCCGGCGGTGTTTACCAGCCGAGCCATGCACGGCGGGTGTGGGGGGGACCCCCCCCAGCCCCAGCAGCTGGAAAGGCAGCACAGGCAGTGGCGGGGGCCCAGCCGCGGCAGGCGCAGGGAGCTGGGCCGTGCCTTCTCCGGTGGATGCATTTGGGGGTCTCGCGGGGCGGCTGCTGCGGGGAGACGATGCCAAGCTGACCGGCTCTGCTCTGCTCTGCTCTGCTCTGCTCTGCTCTGCTCGCAGGCGCCGGGCAAGGAGTCAGGGCAAAGAGACACCCGAGAAACACGACTTCCTGGCAGCTGCCGTCCACCTCAAGACCCTGCCGAGTGAGTGTGGTGGGTGCCAGGTGGCAGAGAGGCATGGGGGGCACGGGGCTCGCTCCCCGGCGGACGGGGCCAGGGGCACGGGAGTCAGCGGGAGAAGCCGGTGCTGGAGCCAGCGGTTGCAGGGTTGGGGTACAGAGCAGTTGGGCAAGGAGGGGGGCATGCAGGATGGAGTCCCTGGGGATGCTCCCAGGATGGCGCCCGGCTAGAGAAGGGGGCCGGGGTTGTGGGGCAGCCCCAGTGCCTGAGCGCAGCCCCGCTGCATCCT